CGCGAACAAATTTCCACCTTCTTTTGATCGGAAGTCATTCCCGGTTTAACGACCGTCATTTTATAGTCCTTTAAAATCTAAAACATTAGTGTCATACACTAGTGCGGCTAATAGTTGCTGCTTCGTACGTTCGTCGCGTTTATTCATCAATAAATATCCGTTGTCGTAAACCGTGAACTACAATCGCAGAAAATTTGTTCTCAGCTTACCGATTCAAGATTCTCTTCCTCTTAAAAGACACACAGTATCACTTGAAATCAGATCATTGCACTTGTTGCACTTTTCTTCTTTCAGCCAGCTAATAGAAAAATCTACATAAATATAAACAAATAAAAACTTGATTATCAAAATAAATAAATGTAAACATACCTTCTTCCCAGAATCAAGCTCCAATTGTAAGAAATAAGTCGGGTAAAAGCCATGGTTCACACTTTTTCAATTGCAAGTCATTCTACATTTATAATGCATTTTCTTGTTTACAAATTGTACACACTGTTTGATATGTCCTACACTGCCTTCTAATTCTGGAATCTGTAAACATATTTATTACACTTAATTCAATATGTATACATCTATATGTACATGTAACTTTTTGTTTCTCTACTGTATAAAAACTATAATATACAAAACATTTACAAAAAGAGTATGAATTTTCAATATGTGAATTGAATTCATACTCAAGACGTAATACGAATTCGTAATATTGCTGACAAAAAAAATGGCCGCGCCATAATTGATTGTAATGCTTCACTATCACTTGCGATTAGGGTAGCCATCAAATGTCCGGGAAAAAAAGAGGACGGATAGCTATCCAACCTCAGAGTAAGGCGAGAAAAATAAAGTAAAATATTTACCAACAAGATTCCCTAAAACACCGGACGAGCATAAATCACCGCGGACGTCTTTGGAAAATCCACCCGTCTTCGGCATTCCAAGAAAAAGACGGTGTTCAGNGAAAAGAGGACGGACGGCAAGCTCTACTTGCGATACAACTTATCAATGCGTACACCCGTCACTTTGCGACATGTATTAATTTTCGCGAACTACCGATATTCGCGCGCTAGATAGTAACAAACGCGAAGAAATAACGAAACAATTAGAAAAGAAACGTACTTGAGCTGGCCATTCTTGGAAATGCTCTACCGTGTTCTTGGAAGTGCTCTACCGTGTTCTTGGAAATGCTACTGCCGCGAAACATTTTGACAACCTTGCATTGTTTTCGACGCGTGTGCGGTACTAAATACTTGTTGTCTCAAACGTCCGACACTTTGTGGTACATGCATATCACGAATAATTACGTGAAAAATGACAAAAATAGTGAAAACTACCTGATTTGAATGAAGAAGCTCCGCTTCGAGTATGCGCGTCGGTTACAGAGAAAGTTTCGGTGTTTCTTGTCACTTGTACCTATTGCAAGCGTAGGTCGCGTCCACATTGTCCAATCGCATTGGTTATGTTTGGTAAAGTGACCAATGCAACAGAATATTGTAAACTCGACCTACGCTCGCGATTGTTGCGCCAAGTGGAACTTACTCGTGATTGCTCGAGTTTGAACATAGTGAAATGCGCGGTAAAGCACAACATGCGATTCTCTTTTGTTCTATATGCACGAGTCCAACCCCCTGTTCCGTTATTACTGGCAGTACTGAAAATTTATAGGTTCACGTTACGTATCCTATAGATTGTTTAATACTGCTAGTAATAACGGAACAGGACCCAAGTGTCGAGGAAGATGAAGCAACTGAGGCTAGCACTGAGAGCATATATTTTTAAGTCATCAAATTTTTATCATGTCTTGACGTAATAAAAATTTGATTATCTAAAATTATATGCTTTCTGTGCTGGCCAGCTGCTTGTTCTTTCTCGACAATCGGATTTGTGTACATAACACGGAATAGAACCATGTCCACGTTTAAACAACGTACGTATCGACAAGTCATTCGTGAACGTGGCTACGTAGTTGCCAATGTGCATCACTCATGAACATTGCGCTGGTTTAAAGCCATTCTACTTAAAGCCTGTTCTACATTGATCGTAAACGCAAACGCAAGGAACAGGTCTGGTAGAATTGACTAATCGTATTGATCAAATTAGCCAATTTACCAGCGTGATTGGTCAATTCTACGAGATCTGTTCCTTGCGTTTGCGCTTGCGATCAATGTAGAACGGGCTTAAGAGTTTCTGCAATAGCTTTTCGTGAACATGGTTCTATTCCGTGCTAAGTTTGTGGACATGGTTCTATTTCGTGCTATGAGAATACCGACGTGGTGAGGATACGCATACAAGCGAGACCGTTGTCCGTGTGCGCTCGTGGAAGTGTGTAGATTATGTTGATGTATGACGACGGTTCTCGCTTGTGTGCGTATCCCCACCGCGTCGGTGTTTTCATAGCACGGAATAGAACCATGTCCACAAACTTAGCACGGAATAGAACCATGTCTACAAACTTAGCACGGAATAGAACCATGTCCACAGAAACTCTTATGGCCGTGGCCGCTCTCAGGCTTCTCTCTGGTACTACCTATATTAGATCATATATATATATATATATATATTATCACCTGTATATTTATATAATTAACAATTTGCTGTTCTTCTAAAAACAGTTTTATTATTTATTATCTTTACTGTCAATAAATGTTACATCAAATATGCTCAGTTTTTACAAGGAAAAGTTTGGAATGTTTTTATTTATTAAAAAACTATCACTTCAATGTTCTGCAAGCTCTTATTTCAAAAGTAAGATTGACATAGTCAAGTCTCTGCGTCAAGTCAATTCCAATTGTTATGTGATATATTTTTGCAGTAGTTTATCATTACTTGATAATCTGATAATTTTTGAATAAAATTATGGGAAACTACACTGTTATCATTTCTGTCTTACTAATCTCTGCCAATTTAATTGCTATTTACTATTTTTAATAATAGTGAGATTTTGTGCCTCAATTTATTGCTTATGTATACTCATTATTGTATTTCGTAGAAAAGTTACAAACTTTTAAGTATGTTAAATTATTATAAAATGTGTTTTATATTTTTATTCAATATACAATTAGAATTATATAAGATTAATATCATTTCTACTACTTTTAACTTCATTTTAGATCGATTACTACTACATTTATCAATTACTACTATATTTATCGATTACTACTACATTTATCGATTATTATTAAATTTTATCGCTCACAAGTAATCTTATCACTTGCAATAGATTGCAATTTTTCTCGTAACAAATTCGCTTAAATTCGCAGTTAGTAGTAATTGCAGATCACAGTGTCTTACAATCGTCTTTAACTAAAAAAAATAAATAAACCTATTAACATTAAAAATATTATAAATAACAAAATTAATGATAGCCTTAGACACGTTTTATTTACATAATCAGATTGTAAAACATTTCATTACATTGAAAAAAAGATCTTGATTTTATTCTTCTTTGCATTCTCGTGCGGATTGTAGAGCTGTTGAATTTAAGTGAGATCCGAACTATCACGAAGTGAACACATGAACACTTTTAATTTAAAGAGATCTCATGACAGAGAGATACATCTCGGTAAGTCGCTGGCTTACCAGAGGAAAAGCTCAGAATCTTTCGGTACTGAGCTCTGCACAAACCAACTGAGCTACAGGCCTCACCACTATTTCTTGCTATACTATAATAATGCCACCTATTATCGCGCCTGTTTCAAAATGACTGGCAATTTTATCACAGATTGAGACAACAATTTATCCGTTGTTGTTTTGATAATAATTACGATTATCGTTCCAAAATAATTATCAGAACTAACGCATGTTTCACGCAGTCGTGGATTCTTATGTGAATTCTGTATGCAAATCGCATTAACTTTAACGCAACTTCATCGAAGCAGGATGCAAAGACATCTACAGAAACAGTCTGTCGTGACATAAGAGCCGCGCCAATGACAAACGATCGCAGGAAATAATTAGTCGACACAGTTATGTCAGCGGATAATAAACAAAAGTATTTGCCGTAATTGGCTCTTTTTGCGAGAATAAGTTATCGCAAAATCGCTGAACGCGCGCAATGACTTATTCATTTATTATACATATGTTGACGTCTATTATTCCGGACAAAAACAAAGAACAAACAGACAGTTTGCACGCCAACTCAACATATTTTGCATGGCGTAATTCTTAATAACCGTCATGTCCAAGTAAAAAAAAAATATTTATTTGTTTTGATTGTATTGATTATTGTGATAATGATTCACGCATTTCCGTCATTAAATTCCAAGTAATTTATTGTAACATATTTCTATATTAATCCGACTAATATTACACACACACATATACGCGATACCTATATCTCAAAAATGTACATATATTGTTATAAAGAAATTGTTCTCTTTGCATATATATATATATATATATATATATATATATATATATATATATATATGTATTTAAATAACAAGTTAAGCGATATGAGCAAAAGTTTTGCAAATTGTAAATAATGTGAAATACAAATTGCGATCATAAAACTGACAGTGAATATCAGATATCTAAATACGTACGCGGAATGAGATTAGCATATCATCAATATATAAAAATACTGATATGTGACCTTCTTAACGAATTTCGTGCTGACATTATCAAAATTTCTCGATCGCTGATCAAACCGAACGATTACAGCAAAAAATCTACTTACTAACAAGTTCTACCTTCTGTATCACTATCGTGATATTGATCGAACTCTGTAACGTCCGAAATATTGTTACTCTTATCAGAAATTTACGATAATATCGATTTGAACTAGCAGAAAGGTTTTTTCGTTTTTTTTTTTTTTTTAAAGACATCACATTACATTGAGTTTGTTTTCATGTTTAATTGTCGTTTACCTGCGCAATTATATCACCAACTCGTCAAGTGCAATCTATCGATGCATCTTATCACGCGTTTGCAATTTTTTTATCTCGCAAAATGCAACGCTATAAAACCTTTCGCGTTTTGATTGTCATCGATGCAAACGAATTTCTTAGGGTAATACACCAACATTGTCCCGTTATTATTTTGTCTCAAGTAAAGGAACAAAAAGGAGATAGGGTTAAGGAACCACCAAACGAGTTGAATAAACGTACGACTTCATCGAGGGACTTCCCGGCTGCCGTTCAATTTTTTGTTTAAAAGCAGACGCAGTTACACGATAGCCAGTCAGTTTCAGTTTTGATACACGCTGTAACGGTCAATCATGAGATCACAGTTCTATCTCATTTTGTGCGCTTTAGTATTGGTTTTCGATAATCTTGAACAGGTGCTCGCAATTCCCATTGACAGCACAAATTTTATTAATGTTACTGGTAAGCTGATTATTATATGTACGACGTGTGCAGCTTTTTCTAATGCAGCCTTTTTTTAAATGTCGTTTTATTTCTAGAAATCATTTTATTTACGTCAAAATTACGTTAGTTCTGTTTGCTTATTTATTAGATTCTATACAATTAATATGATAATAACTTGCTTGTAAGTTTTCTTACGCGTGTAATAATAATATCAGTATCACAAACACGCAAAACTAGATATCGTAATAACACTAATAAAGTTATTAAAGAATCAATTGTAAATTGATGTTTTGAAGATAAAAAAAAGTTTTATTAGACATTTTTTTATTAAGTTATTAGATAATCACTTGCATGCAAATCAAAGCATTTAATCGTTATAATAAAGTTATGTTTACATATGATAGTTTATAACAAAAGCAGAACGTCATAGTTATGATTATAATATTACCGTAACGTCAGATAACTGATTTTTAACTTTTCCATAATAGCATGATGTTTAATATGCAATTAGTTCGAGATTAATATTTTTAAAATAATGTTTTTTTAGCGTAACCAGTTTTTGCAGATCTAAAAAAACTTAACATCAGTATGCGCCGATACTGCTTGATTATGTCAATGCTTGGAAACCTGTTGTTTTTAATATTTTTACTTTGAAAAATAACATTATCGAGAAACCGCTTTATTTTTTGCTATAAATTTATATTTAACATAAATATTTTCCATCAAATCGTATGGCATTTAATAAGTTATCAGCACAAGTGGATGTGGCAAGAAGAAATAATATTGTAGAAGTAAAACACATGCGACACAGTAGCAAATCATTGTTACGTTTATTCGTGACAAGTTTGATAATTAGTTAGTCGTTAGTTCGTTTTTTTCCTACATTTTAAGTGTCCACACTTGAGAGATATACTGTGAAGCAATATTATTTTATATCTCGAGAATCTTTGTCGGCCAGCAATTATAATCTTTCGCAAAAAGAAAAATAATTTTGCGAGAAGTATATATTTAAAATTGCGCAATTACTTGCTGAAACATGTTTGCGCTAACTTGTTAGCTGACTCATGAATTCAGAGTAAAATATTGTAGTCTACAACATGTATTTTATAAGAGTATTTTTCTGAAATTCGCGCAGAAACATATCAGTTTGTCTTCATTAAAGTTGTGCTATGTAGTTTTTATTCTAACCAATACGTAGGAAAATAGTAGTTTTTTGTAAACATCAACTGAGAATTTTTTATCAAGTGTCGAAACTGATGAATTGAACTATAATCATTTCTCTTGGTATATTTTAATGTTCTCAATCTTTGAAGATACGTTATATAAACATATACATATATATTCAAATAGAGTTACATTTTTGAAAATATTTGGTTGAAAAAATAATAAAAAACAATTATTTGTTATCTACACATGTATACATATAGGATGTCCGAGAATCGTTAGCCGAGAAGAATGGAAGGCTAGAAAACGTCTCAATTTCGAATTCATGCCAGTGATACCGACACCTTATGTGGTAATTCATCATGGTGGCATACGTCAGTACTGTCGGGATCAAGAATCATGCTCAGCGATCGTGAGATATTATCAAAATCTTCACCTGGACGATCGCGGCTGGTGGGACATTGGCTATAATTTTCTCATCGGCGAAGACGGTAATGCTTACGAGGGTCGCGGCTGGAATTACGTCGGTGCACATTCACCTGGTTACAACACTCAGAGCATTGGCATATGCATTATAGGAGATTTTTCTGGTATTTATTTAAAATATTAAAATATTAAATAAAATATATAAAATATAAAACTAAAATAATTTTTTTAAACGATTAATTGATCGGATAAGACAGCACACAACACTTTTTCACTGAAAAAATAAAAATTTGACCATCAAGTCGGAAAGTAATCAAGCATATCTTGTGTGAGAGTTTTGACTCTCGCTTAACTTTCAATCTTGTGAGTTTTTTTTTAAATAGATTTATTATAGCTAAATGTTCATAAATTAAAAATATTTAAATAATAGATACTTTTTTATTTAAACACTTATTGTATATTGTTATCTAAATATTACTTTTATGTGAGCTAAAAACAGTTCACTTTCAACATATATCAAAATGATCAGGTCATCGAGATATTAACTTTGCAGAAAAACAATTTATATTTTTGCGTTAATGAAACGATATTGACATAGATCAATTTTGATTTCGCAGATTTTCTCCCGAACGCGGCCGCCTTGAAGACGCTGAACGAGTTGATAGCTTGCGGAATTTCACTCGGCAAAATAAGTGACAAGTATAATGTGATCGGTCATCGGCAGGCACGCAACACGGAATGTCCTGGCGAGAGCTTTTACAAATACGTAATTGCTCTTCCCAGGTGGACCGCGAATCCGGTACCAATTTATTCGAACACGACTACTACCACGACGACTACCACAACGGAGGCAACGGTGCAAAGCGAAAATATCATAGATGAAAAAACTAAACCGAAAAATACACAATAATGACATTTTAGGTAATTGTCGTGTAGGTCACAAATTCACACACACACACATACTGCATTCTATTATAAAATGAAAAAAGAATTACTATTTCTATCTCTGCTATTATTATTATGAAACGCTCATGCGCAGCTGAAAATGGCAGTTTTATAAAAAAAAAAGTAAACAAGTTTTCTCTTTCGAGATGAATCCCTCAATGAACACTCTTCTTATACTAAATTTTCAATATTTACTGTCATATAATAATAGTTACGTTAATATCACAATTAAATTGGTCGATTTAAACGTGAAATACATACGTATATATAAATAGAAACAAAGAAAAAATTTCTATACGGATTTTTTAAAAAGTTTTGAACGGTATTGTATTAATTCATGTGTAAAACCATATTTAAGTGCGACTGTACAACAATACATTGTTATAATATTATGCTGATATGCTTTGAGATGTGTCATATCAGTTAGTCATTTTCAAATAGTTCGATTATTTTCGGGGATGTCCACTGTAAAATCACAAGTCCGTCCGTTACGTGAAATTGATAAGATATCGGTATCGCAGTTTCATGTATTATGCAATGTTTTTGTAAGTTTAGAAATGGGAAAGAAGATAAAAGCCGCACTTGTTTTGTAAACGCATTTCGCAGTTTGTGATAATCACAGCTTCGATTTCACTTGAAAAACCACAATAGTGAATTTGTTTTTCTGATGTTTTTGCACATTACACAATTGACAGGTCAGACGATGCAGCTGGTTTGTTAATGTACCTGAATGAGCACGTTTCTTTTAAATTGTATACAAATAAGTAGCAATATACTTTATGATATTTATCACTTTATATGTATTTAAAATATAATTAATGACTGTAGCACACACATATGTTACATTTTTTCTTGCGCTTATAATGTAATACATTGATAAGTCAGATTATGCAACCGGTTCGTTAAGGTACTTGGACGAGCACATGTTCCTTTTTTAATTGTGTAAATAATTAACAATTCACTTTATGATATTTATTACTTCGTATTTATCTTTTACCTTACATATTTAAGATATATAATTAATGACAGTAGCGTACACACATTTTATATTTCTTGTGACAGACATGCTCTATCGACTAATATCGACTGCGACAGATACGTCTTATTTATTTATGCGCAATGAACACATAAAATAAATTACTTGTATATATAGCAAGCAAAAATAAAGGATATTTTCACGATAAAAATATGTATTACTAAATTATTATTATGTATTGCATAAATAACGTTATAAAAAACAGAGAAAGAATAAAATTTTCTTGTTAGTTTATTTCTTACTTTATTATATATTTATTTAGTATCAATTTATAGTATCTAGTTTCTAGTTTACGCAAAATCGTACTGTTAATAGGCTTTATATGAAGTTTCCTTCTCATCTTTTCTCATTCATAAAACAAATAATAAAGATAAGTTATGAAACTCAGGGGATTCCAGTTGGGAAAATACAAATTTACTCATACGTTGACTGAATGTACAAGCACATACGCATCCGCTATCACACGGTCACAGGTCATAATTCATTAAGTCTCGATCAAGAGGACATAAATATAGAGTTAAGAGCTTGTTCGAATCAGTATTGTTTTGTAAGTCAAAATGTACGTTATGTCGAAAACATCGTTAATTTTCGCAGCAATTTGCGTAACGCTTGTTGTAACGCAAGAAGGTACGACAAAAGTTTTTTGTTGAATTATTATTTACGCTACTAATTAAACTGTCGAACTTGCCTAGTGTCACGCAGTGAAACAATTGTTGAAAATATAGTTATTTTTAGATATATTTTTTGTGCTAACGTATTAGAAAAAAAGTTTATTGTGAGAAAATGTTTTAAAAAGAAGTTATTGTGAGAGAACTGTTTGTTTCAATACAGGGAGTCCTAATATTATTTCCAGAGCGCAATGGGGCGCTAGAGCACCAAAATCATCGGTTCCTAGTCTCAAATTAATACCAGCGCCTTTCGTGATTATTCATCACTCGACCGGTTCTAGTTGCCAGACTCGCGCTGCGTGTGTATCAAAGGTCAAAAGTTTTCAGGTACTGACGAAAAAGCAATAAATCTTCTGCTGACACCAGGTCTTCCGTCTTTTGAATTTTTATATGTGCAAATGACCAAGAATTATCTAATCGAACAATATTTTAAGTTAAAAGATATATGTTCTATTAAGATCCTATTTTTTCATATCATATTTTAAAAAACAAAACATACGTACAAGTGTGTTTGCTTTGTGATTATAAAATTATTATTCTATTTTAAGAATTATCATATGGATAACCGACAATGGGCCGATATTGGCTACAATTTCCTAGTAGGCGAAGACGGAAACGTTTACGAAGGTCGTGGTTGGAACAAGAAAGGAGCTCATTCTGTACCTTATAACAGCAAAAGCATTGGAATCTGTATCATTGGAGATTATAGCAGTAAGTAACAACAATAATATACAAACTTGGGAGTAAGTGGTAAAATTTTATTGAACATACTTTTTATATATATATATATATTTTTTTTACTTCTTAGACCGAACACCGAACCAAGCTGCGATCCAAGCCGTACAGAATTTGATTGCTTATGGGGTATCTACTAACAAAATAAAGAATAATTACGTACTTTATGGACATAGACAAACCTGGCAAACCGCATGCCCTGGAAACACACTATATGAAACTATAAAATCGTGGCCTCATTGGTCGGCAAGTTCTAGATAAACATTATTTTTAATGCGACAAGAAACAATTTTATCCAGTTTGATCAGAAAATGATCTACAATTTTGCATCGATAACAGATGTATTAATAAAAATATTAGCGATATATCGTAAATTCAACAAAACATTGGAACTAGTGATGTCAATAATTCACGTTATATACGTTATATATAATTGAGCTAAATAAATAATGTGGTTTTACAAAATAAATCAAGTAATTTTTATTTACAATATAATTGAATTTTTTTTTCGTTTAGCTTAAAATAATATATTATATTGACGTACAATATACTGGAGCTATAATCATATATGTTGTTCGATTATTACATATAGACTGTAACAAGACTATTGACGTAAGTATCGTAAGTATCTTCTTCGGTTCTAACACAAATTTCCAATCGTGAAAAACCGAGCGAAATGTAATCCTCTTCAGATTCAACTTGATCCCTTATCTGTGTAAGATAAAATAAATACACATGTAACAAACTTTTATATAATATGTCACAAAATAGAATTTCCAATGCTATTTCTACAATTTGAAAATATAATATAAACTATGTAACACAAAAAATAATCAGCAATAACCTGCAGGGGAATTTGTCTCCCGAATTGTTCATTCAACTTCTCTATGCATATCTTCGTTCCGTATGGAATGCCTGATTTCAAGTTACCAGCAACAGTAACATAGGCGGTGCGACCATCAAGATAATCCTAATAAAAATTTACGTGGTCTTAAAGTCCATATTTTTTCTCAATAAAAAAAAAGTAAAAATTACACAGATGTAACGGGAGAAATAGTTCGTAAATCTTTCTCGTCTCGTGCTGCACTCTTGAACATGATTGAGACAAACCTGGAGAGTGTTTAACATTTTTCCTTGCACATCCAAATGATTGCTCTTGTCGTTCGTTCCGAATACAGGATAATACGCGGAAAGCGATACGTTATGGATTGGGTGTCCCATGCATTTCAAGTCCGTTCTGTTCAAGTTCTCTTCTGTGGTCAAGCGACAGACAAACATTGAGTACTCAAGTAGATTAAAAATCAAAAATAAAACTGTTCACTCTAAATATGACATAATTATTAAACTTAACATTACTCACCAGTAGCAAAGACTATCGAAAACAGAAAGAACACAAAAGTTAATATTAGCATTTTTTGAGCATATCACGATGCTCTCGTAATAACTTCGCGACACTTTTAGTACTGATTGCCAAATAACCCGAACTCTCTCTTTTTAAAGCTGACCACTTATTTACCCAAACTTATTTACACAATGACGATTGGAATTTGCTAACGTTGAGAAATGTTTACATGCAAACACACAGTCTAATAAATAAAAGGTCAAAATTGCCGTACACAGCACATATGTGTTGCTCATGTAAATCGTCCGCGCGACGGTGCGATCGATCATGTCGTATGTGTCTGCTTGCAGGTAACTGCTTGCAATACGAAGCACTTCTTTACGTAGAACGCAATTGTATGACATTTGTCTCGTACATCTTAGCATATTTGAGTAAGATTGATTATTTGATTAATCGATTTAACATATATAATATTTATACTCCACATTAAACAAATAGATTTTTTTATTGGAGATAAAACGGAGATAAAACATATAATGATATTATTTTGTCACAAGATAATACAATTATCAATTATATTTGATATCTATTTATAATGTACACATGTAACATATTGCGTGAAAATATGTTTCAACAGGCCAATGTCGTAATTTTCTTGTGATCTTCGAGAAGAGTGCTCGTACAATATGTTCGATTATAGATTGACTATTAAAAAGTTGGATTGTTGCTTCCATGGCGGCATTATGGCACTGAGAAGCTAACTTTCCACCTATACCTTTCGTGAATAATGTACAACTTAGGAGGTGAATAGGACACGTGGAAAACTAGCATCGTCAGTCTTACAAAGCAGCTCGTATCCTTCTAACGTGTTCGCTCTGTTTCGAGAAAAAGTAGTTTATACATAATACAATGAATCAGAAAATCGCTCTCGATGCAACAGCAAATAGAATACAACAAATAGAATATTATTAATTTGATACATCGCGAGAGAATAAAAATGAGGAATTGTTTTAAATACTTATATGCGTGCAACATGTATTCATCAAGAACGTTGTAAAAAGAGACGTACAATATTATCTTTTTTTGCAAAACCTGCGGAAGTCATAAAAGGTATAATTATCATAATTTATAGTGTTGTTATTTTCTTGCACGTTAGCGTACGTTTGTAGATATGTTATATTTTTCTAGAATACTTTTCTATAATATAAGTTCAAGACGATTGTTAAATTAAAGTCAAGTATGCAAATAAAGTCAAGTATGCAAATTCATACATTATTCAAAATTAATTGAATAAGCGAGAAAACACAAGATGTACGTGTGCGTGATTTTTTGAATATTATAAACTATATATATAAACGTTTCGATTCCTTTATTTATACTATAGTACATTTTGAAAACTTTGTAGTATGAAATAGATTCGATGTCCTTTGATGCTTTGCTAATGAGCGACGAAGCTTATACTTTACTTTATGGGTATGCTCTAGTCATCCTGTTATAATTTTTATTTCAATTTATTTTTAGTAAGATTCACTTCATTATTTGTTATTGTTTCAATCATTTTGCGTGTGCTGTAAATTTTTTGTTTTTCTATACAGTAGCCCCTGTACACTGAAAAAAAAATATATATATATATAAAGATCAAAACGTTTGTAGTTTTTTATATTCAATAAATCACACACACGTACATCTTGACTCGCATCTGCCCCAATACTTTACTTCAACATTATTTTTAATTTATTCAAAACTCTCTCTCTCTCTCTCTCTCTCTCTCTCTCTCTCTCTCTCTCTTCCCCCTTCTCTCTCTTAAATCTATACATTTCTTTGATTACTATATTCTCAATCGTAAGTTAAGAAGTTTACACAAAAATATCTATAAGCTATAGTAGAGTATGATCAATGTGTCATTGCACTGCACCCCCTAACATAAATAATTGCGTCACAAAATAAAAATGTCATTTTCAATAAAAACAAGTATATGTATAAAACTTACTAAAAGAAATAGGGATGCACTAATTATACATATAGTCGTTTCTTTAATTGAACGACTTGATACTCGCTTTCGACACTGAATTTAATAATAATATCAGCGAATCTCACTTGTATAATAATTATCACTCTACTTTATTAATAGTTTATTGTTTAAAATACAGTTATATGCATATTTGCGCAACAGCTCTTATAAGTTATTAATAATAATTATTTTGTCACTTACATATTTATCTTTTTTAAAACAAAATTTGTGTTAATTTAAGAAAATACAATAAAACGATGTTTTAGAAACTTAAAAAAATATAGCGCAATAAGAAAGATGACCCATATACATTTTATTTTATCAAACAAGTCTACGACACTGCACCTTTGCATGATAACCCCTATCGTTACAACATGCGGTTATTGACGCAGTCGGAGAAAAATAAACAACGCGACACATCTGTTAGTTTATTTCATGTGCCGATCGAACGCAACGTTATTCCCGCTTGAAAGAATACGTGCGATCCGTCGGAAGAAATATCATCGTAACTGTTTTTGACATGAATTCTTGATTGACGTTAATTTCTTATTTATTCAGTCCCGAGTCGCACGTACAAAGGACACATTGCTTTATTGCGAAAACGTCTCGGAATCGGATAACCGTCCTACGGAAAAGCAGGTTTCACAGGTGGCGTCGTGACGCCGAGCGTCGGCTTCATTCGACGCGCGACGCTTCCTCGTGTCGCACGTCGCGACATTTGTGTGTCATATTTTACACTGGCACTCGTCCGCGCGCGTACGAGCGACGTTTCGCAAAACACGCCGTTTTGCACATCATTCTCAATTCGTATAATTTAATTAATCGATGCGCAGATGCCGCTTACGAAGTTAAAGTGCATTAGAGTTGATCAGGTACTTTTTCTCTTTTCGATGCATGTGTACAAAGCAAAGCACTGTATATCAATTAGATATTTACTTGATATAATACTCTTTATCTCATGCACGCTCATACATTTTGCAATTAAATATTTTCAATAAAAAAAGATGGATGTACATTTTTTACACAAAAGCATCTTTGATGCTTCTATGTGTTTTTGATGATATTATTTTTATTCTAATATTCTAATAATAATTCAAAATATAAATTCAAAACTTGGTTTTTATCTTTTAAATCGGATGAAACATTTGTGTAAAAAAAACAAGCGACAAAAATTTTGACGAACGTCTCGTATAATATTGTATTGCCTTCGTTCTTTGTTTAATGCTGTAAATTTTCAATGAAAGATACCTGTATCCGCTTGCAAAATCATATTTTTGTTATTTGTGACATTTACAATTAAAGTTGAAAGAGTAAATATCGATAGTTCAATTTCTCTTTATCTCTTTACTTGTTTGCTTAAAAAGGGTTTAAAAAGTAGATGCGTCATATATTTGTTTTTGCGCGTTTCAAATAGATATTTAAAACGACTTTGTTACGTGCTAATTAATATTAACGTGGTCATATACACATAATTATTGAAACGCAAGCATGCATAAAAAAATATTTTTTATTTGCCGAATTTAATTTTTAACTTTTTTCTACAATATAGAAAATAGAAACTCACTAGTTTTTTGAGACTGTAATGAATATTTTTTTCTTTATACACAATATATTAATACAATATATTAATACAATTAGAAATAATTCTTTGTAATTTTTTATTGTAATGACAATAGCAAAATGTAATGCAATTTAAAAAATCCATCTCTGTCACACAAGAAATACGTAAAGTGATAGAAATGCATTTTAAAATGAGACGCGCATGTAAATAGATACAAGTGACTCTCTAATACAGTTACACATTCTGTTTACGATAGAAACGGGGAATTCACCGGTCGCTTTTGCAAGAGGAAAACTTGTAGTACGTTTCGGAGTAATTATGAATACACGTTGTTTGTACGAGTAAATTACCGATGAGAATTTATAGCGCTGCAAATGAAGTTTTTATAATTAGTCATTATCGTTAGTCAGTGTAAAAACTGAATAGACACACACTTACGGCTTTGATAAAGATCATCTAATGATTTGTTTTTTTATAGCAATATAAATTACCAAAACTATATATCACAATAGTATGACTTGTCCGCTATATTACGAGAGTGCACTATTAATTCGCATAAATACGTCCAAAAATCTGAAATAATTTGCAAGACATTTTTTATTAAATATATGATCGAAAAAGCTTCTAACATGCTTCACTCAATCCGGAAGCTTGTCGGAACATTTAAATTTTCTATTTTCTCTTCGAGTTTGCTAAATATCAAGATTCGCGTGACGTGAATATCGCAATTACACATCCTGACTCCACCAATCATCTTCATGATAGCACTATATGAATATGCAAGCGAAAACACATTTATAGATCATGATGTAATCAATAGAAGAGCCAGTCCGCGTGGACTGTCGATGACTGTCGTGGATTTGACTATTGACTCTTTGTAAATCGCAAAACGCACATTGAGAAATTTTTATACAAGGTTTTAAGTAAAATAATTATTTTATTCGACAGACAACTCTTATAAAGTTTCGCGTAATCATTGATCTTACTTTTGCGATTATTATTACTCTGTTTTCAGAGACTCAAATGAGCTCGTCGAGCATAAAAAATTGGTTACATCGTGGCGATTTTGAGAAGCTCGAAAATGTCGTGTTGGAGGGTCGAGGCGCGAGCCTTTTAGGCGAATATTCGCCGGATCTTAAAATTCGTGTCTTCCTGAAGGGACTCCCAAACTACTTGGTAAAAACATTCATTAACAATTAGGTACAATTTTTCCAAAAAAACAAAAACACGACAAACTCCACCAATTTAGATATTGTATAAGAATTTTAGTTAAGATATTTTTTGTGATCAAGATTAATAATTATATTAAAAGGTTATGTTAAAAGGTTTAATACTGAAATATACTGTAATTTATTTTAGACAAAAATTGTTCAAGTACACGATGCCGTTGCGCGCGGCTCGCTAGCTGAAACGCAGAAGATTATATCCGAGGAATCGAAAAAGAAATTGGCGATCGCGAAAGATTCTTGCGGAGTGCCTTTGATACACAAAGCAGTCTATTACGATCAACCCGACATTGTCGCTTGGCTCGTAGAAAATTATCCTATTACGCCACAGCAAAGGGACATAGTATGTCGTTTCTTTTCAATTATTATCTATGGGTCGTAAAAACAAAGGACATTAAGACGACAAATTTAATTATGTGTTATTTCTTACGCACCGAGTTATTCACAATAAACGAGTGACGAGTTTTACTTCTATTTCACTGAACATAATGTGACATTTCTTTTTGTATCTGTCAAATTATTGCGGAGCAAATCTTTCTCAAATATTTCTTGAATTCTAATTCGAAATTAATGTCAACCTAATGGTCTTAATATTTGCAAAATTCATCAGGAGTTTCTTTCGACCAACTATCCTTTATATTTAATAAGACTTGCGGGATCCATTTTCGTGACAAAATAGTGCCACAAACGCTTATCAACTTGCTTAAGGAGAAGTTTCCGAGTAGGTAATCGAATAGCTTTCTTTCTGGCAACGTTTGTCACGATTCCACATCGCGTGACGTTGATAATAACGAAGTGTAAACCACCTGTTCTTTCCTTGAGCCCCATCGCAGTCTGCAAACGCACGCAAACTAAAGGCGCAATTCCGACCTTACGTATATTATCCTTAACACACATTTGTATTCAATATATATATATATTTTATTCTTTTTTCGAAAGATGTACGTAAAAGTGAATTTAATTATTTTCGATAACTAATATTTCAAGCGTTCTTTCCGTAAAATTTAGGAAGGAAGATCAGCTCTGCACTATTGCTACGCGTGTAAGGATTCCGATCGGGATTCGATTTGGGATCTTCTCATTGAAAACGGATGTGACGCTAGCATTCGTGACAAAAAAGGTCATCCGGCTGCTTATTATTTGGAACACCCCACGGAAATCGAACTTCCAGAGATGGAAATGATGTCTCGAAGAAGAAAAAGTACCGGGAAGGATTGTGAGTATTAAAAAAGAATAGTTATTTAAAAAACAATAAGGACTAGAGAAGTCATAACATACGTATATAAAATTGTTTATTTGAAATTATATATTTTTCTTCTATCAATAGACATTTACGATACGATAAACATGTTGTACATCTGATATATGTGTACATTTGATCAAATAATATCCGAATTGTGCATGTTTCTCCATATTTAGTAAGCGGAGGAGGAAAATAGCGACAAGATATTGTAACATATTTAACAAGTTACAACATATATTTGTAAATTATTGTTTTGCTTTGTATAAAAAGTCATTCTGATTGAGATAATGATTTTTGTAATTCAACTTGTTTTACTCTAACGATTTTTAAAATGGAACTAATTGAAAACGTTTGAATCTTTCAAAACACGTGATCATCCTTCTCCGAAAGCCGTTTTCAAAAATTCATATGTTTCTGTCGCCGTTTTTCTAAGTTTAAAATAAAATTGTACACAAACGCGCTTGTGTTCTTCAATTAGTTCCATCTAAAAAATCGAGTGAAAAAAACTATTTTAAAAATCACTATCACATAACAAACTAATTTTTTGCAAAAGTAATAAACTCACAATCGAATATGTTACGATATCTTGTTCTTATTTTTCCCCTTTGCTTATTAAATATGAAGAGATATGCGCAGTCCGGGTATTATTTGATCAAAAATCACGTATATTAATAATATATACACTTCTTGTTTAAAAACCCTGAAAGTAAATAACTAAAAAGTATACTTTACGAACTAACTTTTATTAAATTGTGCTGTTGTACACAGCTTTACTTTTAACATTCAACTTCGTAAGTATACATGTGTTTAAATATTATATATTTCTTGCTATTGTATATCTCTTTGTGCCAGTGAGTCATTTAAATAATTTCGAGAAAAAAGCGTGAATTCGATAAGCGCGCAACTTTGTCAAGTGGAATGTTATCATGATTTTGTTTGATTTCTACACTTGCGGGTATATACATATATTCCTCACGTTATACCTCATATATTCATTTCTAATGACCGCGAAAAATCGATAGCATATAAATTCGTAAAGACAAGGTTAACTCAAAGCTCGATACGACGACGAGAATGAAACGAGAAATTTCCTCATTTCTAATTTTCCGAGTACAAATTTTTACATACTTGAACGAAAAAGCTAGCAAACCGAATTGTCTAATTGTACTAAATTTTCGTGCTATTCTAAATTTTCTGCATATTCTAATGCATTTTAAATACTTGTCGCTATGAGTTAGAACATAAAACGTAAACGCATAACGCATGATATAAATTATAATAAAATATTGCGACGTACACACAATTATTAAAAACAAAAAACTTTTATTGGGTTAATAAAAGTTTTTCATAAAAAAACTAGGTCGTGTTTATCGACCTATTATTAAGACGCAAAAGGCCGAGTTCTAATTTCGATGATAAGAACTCTTCCTACATTCTTCGATCGTACCGACATGCTAGCAATTACGCTCAAAGATTGAAGCCAAAGCAATTTCTCGTAAACACAATATCCAATAATCGTCTTCTACGTACGCGACTGTATAAGAAATTCGTTAGATTGCTTTGCACAGAAAGTGGACGATTAGAATAAAGTATATATACTACTAATGTTTAAGCAATAAATTAAAGTTAATCTCTTTCATTTAACGCTATATCCTTCACACGCGCAACAACTTTTATCTAGAAAATATTGCATTTCATTCTCTTTCTCCATAAAGTTAAAAGTCTGTTAGGACTATATTCATTAATGATATTGTAAAAAGAGAGATCGATTGCTGTTGCCGTTTTAGCATTTGTATTTGTCTAATGTAAAATATCGCGTGATTATAAAGCATCTCTTGCAAACGCGCGATCGTGGTTACAATAATTTATCAGAAACACCGAAGCGTGGCAGGTAAAGAGTTGTAAACAACACGAGCCGTGTATGACAAGTTCCTTTTACGAAGTTAACGCAATATCTATATATACTGCAGACGTGCAGCTTGGAACGTGTCAGTATAATATGACGGACTTCGACTCTTCGACCTCCTGGAAAATTGATCAACCGGCAATTGCACACGCTATTCCGACGTATTCAAGACGATATAAAATATTTGGCGCAGCGCGCACGCAACTATTACCAAAGGCGTATGCCAAACATCGAATCGGTCGAATTCGTTTTCAATAATAGAAATCCTTGAACAAACCTGCTTTTAAATAATGAATATCTGTGTTATAATCTTTCTATAAATTTATATACACATATGCAGTTGTGCAAGTATTTGTTAGCATTTATAAACGTTGGCCCCTTGTCTTGGATATATTTCAAATATTTAATATCTTCGTAACTCTACTACGCAAGAACTCGTGTCCATGAATACTTAAATAAACCTGTTTGAACGTGAACAGTCATAAAATATGAACAAACTCTAATACTTTTACGACAATGGCGACGTGGCATATATTTCTGTTTTAGTTTTCGCTTATTGTGTTAGTCACTTCAAGCGATGAACGATTCAAAGTATTTAAGCAATTTTTGTCAGAGTAATATTTCACAACTATAACTTAACTGCCGTTGATTTATTATTAAAAAATTTTTCCTTAAAAGTTTTTTAAACAAATAGTTTTTTACTATCTTATCGGTTTTACATAAATAAAGCTTAAATGTCGTCATTTGTTTTCTAAGTATAAGATACGAAATTTCAAGATATCGTTTCACTTGTAACATTTTTTTGTTTTCAGCTCTGGATTTCAAGCCTTCTAACATCAGAATATGGATACACAACAAAGATATTGGGAAATTACAGCAAGTGTTGTGGGAGGGACATGGATTGAAACTTCGATGCGAGACCAGCAACAATCCTCGAATCAGAAAATTCTTGGAAGCTGTGCCTTCTATTATGGTACCTTATTATTATCACAAATTGACCACAAATCCAAAGACGAAAGAAAAAGACATTATTAATATAACAAAAATTTAAAAAGTACTAAATAAAAGTTTTGTAATTTTTCTTCTTCAGAGCACAATAAAAGATATTCATACAGCAGTTGTTAATAACGATTTGGAAGAGTTCAAAAAGAAAATGGAAGAACCTATTTCGCCTATTATTCTATGCGCCAAGGACTCGAATGGTTTAAATGTCCTACACAAGGTGAAAGATCTCACAAAATATATACTTACTCCAATAAGTGTTTTTAATTGCTACGAAATAAAGAAAGCGCTCACATCATTTATTTCTTTTTCACCAAAAGGCCGCTGGTTTGGGATACATCGACATCGCGCGTGAGATTCTCGACAAACATCCCGCAACAATAGCGGGCCAGGATAACGAAGGTAAAACCCCGCTGCATTACGCAGCTGCACTTAAGGATGACAGCGCCATGTACGATCTCCTAGTGGAGCATGGAGCCGACGAGAGTAAATTAGACAATGTGAGTGATATTGTCACCTATATATTAAAAAACAATAAATACTTGAAAAAGATGTCCAGACATAATTTGAACGATAAATCACACACAGAGGCAAAAAGCGCCCGCGTTTTACAAGAATCGTCCTTCGGACGTGGATCTGTCGAACTTGTCGGTGATACCGGAGGCGCCGCGAGTTTCCGGCACGTATCCGAAAAATTGGGATTGGAAATTCCTGGAAGTAGGACAGGCTGTCGCGCGAGGAATGAAGAAGGTAGTTAGTAACAGCGACGTAGACAGCGCTTTTGGTAGTGCCGAATCCACAATGAAGGATTCAAACGAGAAGGTATACTCGCAATCGTTGTTCAAGTTGTGTGCACAATAATCTGTCTCTATTAAGCTTGACTTAATCTATTTACTTAAAATTGTATAATACACGTTTATATTGATTGTCAATATTTAATAATTACTCAGTGCACTGCTTACGCCGGACATAGAGTGGCATCCCGGTCAACAAATTGTAGTGTTGTAATAGCATCTGGAATGAGTAATTGAGCGAAGATTTGTTTTTCTTTTTTTTTTTTTTTTGCTCGATACGGGATGGGGATCCGGTTTGCTATTCCAGATCTGCGATATGAAGGATTACATGGAAGATTTGATGGAACAGATTAAAAGAGCTGATGACGAGCAACACGAAGAGGCCGAGACTCCAAACGGAGACGAAGACGAGGCACAGCATGGAGAGGAGGACGAAGCACAGCACGGAGACGAGGACGAGGCAGAGCATGGAGATGAGAACGAGGCAAACGACGAGGATGAGAATAATGAGGAACATAACGAGGAAGCCGCGAATGAGAATGAGGAACAGCAGGAGGATACAGAAGCGGCGGAGGAAGAGCCGAAAGCGGATGATGCCGAGGAAAAGGCGTCTTCGGACGATGACGTGGTAACCGGACCTGTTGCGGAATCAATGAAAGACGAGGAGGACGGGCCTGAGGCGGTCGCTGATGAGATAGGAATCGACGAGGAATCTCTAAAAATCGAGGAAATCGCCGCTGACGAAGAAACCGCTATCGAGCACGAAGAGAGAAACGAGACGAGCACCGGCGACTCGGGCGTCGAGGACCCGGCGCAAGACGAGGAGCAGGTACAGTTTTAATCGTTTTGTTACGGTCACTGCACTACGTCTTGTATAATACAAAGAAGCAGCCGGGATTTCTCAATCTATGTCCGCCCTTCTTCTAATACCGTATATACATGTTATGTAACAACTGTACTATGTAATATAAATAAAATCCTGTTCAATCATGTTCAATAATAATCTACTTTAAATTAAAAAACAATACATGTCTTTCATTTATTTTAATAAAGTAGATACGCAAGTTTTTTTGTAGTTCCCTATAAAAAAAAAAAACTCTTGATTTATGAGACAACTCGTTAGTTTATTTTTACGGACACGCTATGTGTACACGTATATGTACAACGTAGCGTATAGGCGCGGCAAGAGACAGACGATCGATTCGCATGTAGGATTCCCACATGTGATTAATATCTATTGATCGTCTACGAGTCTTCCAGCCGTGCGCATGATTTTTTTACCTAAACATGACAGCAGGTGATCGTTGGTGAACATAAGGAGCCGGCGGAGGTAGAATTAAACGAGGGTAGCATGGCCCGGGATCCGGAAGTGGATAAACTCTTGGAGACCGGGAATATGGAACAATTGGCGGCTCTAGTTCTCAACGGCGAAGGCCGACGATTAGTCGGACGACAATCCGGAAATCCGGAGCTCCAGGCGTTCATTGACAATGTTCCGTCTTACATGGTACGTTATCTCATCACGCGTAAATACGTCTCAAAGCATATTATTAATTCATAATTGTTTTACAATATTAGGGAAAAATCCATGCTGTGCACATGGCAGCGCGAGAAGGTAACCTTCGTGATCTGCAAAGCGCGCTGGATCGGCGCAAATTCGCGATTGCGCGAGACGAATCGTCACCGCATGGCGCAACGCCATTACACGTAGCCGTTGTATTTGGCAATACTGCCGTAATCAGGTATTACACATATATTATACATATGCGCGCATATATTTTAATCTCTTATTTTTTTTCTTTTTCTCTGGTGCTTTCTATATATTGTATATAAAATTATATATGTAATAAGTATATACATATAAAATATACAATATAAAAATAAATATACATATATAAAATATACAATGTAAATGCATATATAAATAATATTTTGACGTTTCTGAATTTTTATAAAATTCAAAATAAAATATGTACAAGGTTCTCTAAAACTTTAGAAACATTAAAATATCTATCATAAACGATCAATTATAGCAAAAACTATATAAAACTATGTAACAAATAAAGTTGTAGGACTTGAAATTGAACTTTTTAAATAGAACCTTTATTTTATATTGCGTATGTAGCTTATTTCGAAAGCTTTAAAAACACAATAAGTATTTATTTGTTAAGTACAAGTTGAAGTTATATAAAACTTGAAAGTTATTGTTGGCATTAACATTACTCAAGGTGTACTGCATGGATCGTGTTGCACGGTCGGTTTACATCTTTTTTGCGTGTGTGTCTATGTCTCTTATCATCATTAGGTGGGTTTTTACGCCCTATAAAGTTTGCTTCTTATATATTTTTTGCTATAGTTGGTCGTTTTCGTGCTATTTTAGAGGATTCTGTATGTTACTGATAAAACATTTGTATATTCTGTTTCTGTTCGATACTATCTGTGAATTTTAATGATTAACTATTTGTTTTATTAATCAAGTAACGAAGAAAACATAAAACTGTTCGATTCTATCTAATGAATACGCTATCCGATTGTCAATGTTAACTCATTATTTACTTCAGTTATGTCACGATTGACTTTCGTTACGAATGACAGGCTGTACAGCTCACGATATCAGCTCACGTCAGTCCATTAAATATTTTGTATCCGATTTAGGTATCTGGCAGGAAGGTTTCCAGAAACCGCCCATGCGATCGATCTTGACGGACGCACTCCGTTACATTATGCGGCAACGCTCGCGGACAACGGTCATTATTACAATCTCTTGTTGCATCTGGGAGCCAATCCTTTAGTACAGGACAACGTGAGTGTTAACAAAATATTAAAAACTTTTATTATCAAAATTTTTATTAACTATTATATATATAGAGACAATTTAATTATTGAATATAGAAATAGCGACGACTAAAATTTTTTTGACAAAATTTTTAATATCAAATGCCGAGAATCAAATTTTATAAAAACGGAGAGAATCAATTCTCTCTTATATGCTATATGTAAAATAAATCACATATTTTAATACGAGGAAATAATGAAATATTATTTACTTACGAAATATTATCTTTTGTTATGTAGTTCGGACATAAGGCGGATTATTACAAGCAAAACCAAAGCGACATGTCGCACAAAAAACTTCTTCGCGATTTCGGAGCCAGCGAAAAACTCGCCGACGAAATGCTGACAGATAAAGGTATTTGAGACATTTTAGATCACTATTAATGATAAAACAAAATAGTCGCGATGACCATGTGGTATATCGTGATTAAAGATCGTTGAATCGAATCTTCGTGAAGATCTATAACAGCAACGTCGCACACACTTTGGCACAAAAGAGTATCCTATGTGTCGCGATTCGTCAAGTATCCGTTAATTGTTCGTCATCGCACAAGAAACTTCTCGTTCAATTCGATAGTTTGCAATATCCATTTTCGTTCATGACCGATTTATACTTTTCTAGACAACAACAATCCGGCCGTCCCTCAAATGTCGCGTAAGAATCCCAAAAGACTCTTGTTTAGTGCACAAGTGTTTCCCTCTTCTTTCTTGTTTTGTGAATTTTGATTTTGACGCTTCGATCAATTATTTTCATACTATGGCACGTAATATCAATTCAACACATTTTAGCGCAGTGATCGAACCAAAAGTATAAAGTATCAATTCACTCTATATATTTGTACTTATTATTTCAACATATGAATATAAGAGTACTGAGATCAAGAATTTTATATATGTATTTAGAACTAAAATATAATTAATTTAACAACAAATTTTAGCTCATATAGCGAAGATTTATTCAGTCAATGTGAGCTATAAGTGTTACTTTTAAAATGTATTTTTTATTTATTTAAACGTGTAAATTAATACACAATAATTTGAACTGAATTCAATTCGAAAATTCATCTAGGATAAATTTGGTTTGCATCACGTGTAGATGAAATATAAAATTTACCTCTTCTTACGGAAATTAAAAAATCCAATCCGATAAAAATTATCTTGGAATTGAATCCGGATTATCTACATTTTGCTCATACGCCTTTTTGTAATTCAAGTGGGTTGAAAAATGCTTTAGTTTTTTGAATTATATTCAAATATTGCGACAAATTCATTTATTGTCTTTGTAGCCGAATTGGGAAAGCGTCTGCATGGAATGTAGATAATACAAGATCCGGATTCGACTTCTGGACAAGATGTCTTTTGCAATGAGTTTTCTAATCTTTATGAAGAAGAAAAGAGTAAATTGGATATTTCATCTATATATGATGAGCACATAGATGAATTTTTGAATTGAATTCAATTCAAATTATTATGTGTATTTACACATTAAATAAATAAAAAATATATATTAAATATATATTAAATATATATATATAATAAATTATATATTAAACAAAGAAATAAAAACTATATTAAATAGAGAAAAAATATATTTTGCACAAATAGTTAGCACATTGGCTTATATTGATCAAATAAATCTTTGCTTGTTTGATAAAATATGATAATTAACGTACAAATAAGTAATCATAGTACATGTATTCTTGATCTCGCAATAACAATTATTCTGTGCAAAACTGAATATTTTTCGACTAGATTCTCTCGCAAAAATTTATTATTACAAATTTCAAAATATAAAATCGAGAAATTTGCTTCGTCTTTAAACATATTTTACACCTCTCTCTGAAAAATGTTTCGCATGTAAAAATCACAATGTTAACATTCATTTATCGATAATTGTCACTAACGTTGCTGCGAAATTTCCATGTGTTCGCTTTTTCTCATCAATTCACATTTCATCACGACGGGCTGTTAACTCGCTGCTCTTTTAATCACCGCTGCTACTGACTTGGCCGAGATCTACAGTTCCCGGAGATGATATCTACTCCGCCCGGCGAGATGTGAGCGAACCGGAGACTCTAGCTATCCTGGAGCGATGTTTCCGGCTGTTGGCGGGCAATCGGCGATCGTCAGCGCAGAAGACGCCGTCGAACGCCGGTACACTTGTCGCTCGTTGCCTGAAACGACCCATTTTCGATTTGATCAAGCACCGTGTGACTCGCATGGACCACAATCTTTTTGACGTGATTTGGCCCGCTTTGAAAAAGTACGGCACCATCACGGAGAACGGCAGCAAGATGAACAGCGCTCGCTCCAACGTCAGCAGCATCGCGGACGACGATCACGGTTACGGCGTGGTTGCGCCCGACTTCGAGAGCTACGTTGTTTTCACCGAGTTCCTCGACCCCTTCATCCGAGAGCTGCACTGCGTCACCGCGAGCGGCGACTTGCCCGATCATCCGCCGCCGCGTTTCTTTAACACAGAAAATGAAGAGGGCGAAGAGGAGCCGCCGGATGAAACAATCATCAGCGCAATTGAACAGTACGATTTGGATCCGACCACCAAATTTGTGCAAGCCGGTATTATAGAATGCACACGAAACTTGGTCAACTATAGCTTACCACTGACTCTTACGGTGAATCAATTGGAAGAAGTCGAGAGAGAGATCACTAATCAGTTGATGAACCCGGAAATTACCGATCTGTTAGCGCAAGGAAGCAGCGAGGACGAGGCTGGTACATACTACACCCTTAACGAGATTCTTGACCAACCTAGCCGGATACGAGCGCAGTTGGCAGCAGCCGGCCTATTGTTACCGATTACGGAATTCGAGGTAAACGACGACCGGCGTCTTCACGGCAAGCATTGGCCGTACGGACGCGGCGTATACGTTACGAGCGCCGGTGATCTTGCCGCGTGGGTGAACATTCAGGATCATTTGAGGATTATTTGCCGTACCAACGAAAACCGACCGGGCCAGGTAGGCCGCGCTTACGTCAGGATAGCCAAACTGATGATGATGTTTGACCAGAAACTGGAATTCAAGCGGGACCAAAAGTTAGGTTTTCTGACGGCTCGCCCGCATGCTCTAGGCAATACTCTGAGATTTTGTTTGATAATCCGATTTTCTGAACTCTCGAAGACACCTGACAACCTGCGACATTTGTGCGTAGTGCGTGGCTTGAGTGTGCGCGACACTGTGAAGAGCGACATGGTGAGGGTTAGCAACCAGCAATCGCTAGGCATCACCGAGCTGCAGACTCTCCAAGACTTCTCTAGAGCGGTGCACAATATCATCACGTTAGAGAAAGAATTGTCCTTGAATAACTCAATGAAGATCGCTAATCTGATCACCGGCATATTTCGCAAACGGGCGAACGTGTCCAGAAATCTCAGAACATAAATGAATTTTAACGATCACAATCGCAAAAAGACAATAATAACAATAGACTCCCAACAATAGACTTTAGCTCTTGAAGACGATCTGGAATTATCTATTTTTTTTCTATTTTATATACAAAAACAAACTGTATACAAGGAAGATAGAAAACGATAGAAATAGAAAACAAAAGAACAGTTGCAATATTTTATAAAACAAAATGAACTTCAAATTCCTCAAGAAAGTATCGATTTACTGAAAAACTTTATGCAAAAAAACGTTCTGGTTTTAGAACACTTAAATATATTCAACTTCATTCATAAAAAAAAAAAAAAAAAATGAAACAACTTATTTCAGAGCAGATTGCTATTTGATTTACAATGAATCTCGATCTTTTATATCAGTGATCAAATATACATATCCTAAATATATCATACATGTTCTAAATGTATTCTACTTCTTACTTCTTATCAAGATATTCTCTAATTAGTGTAGACAAATTTTAATTATACAAGAGACATTATAATAGTAAAAAAATTAATTATCAATGATTATCTTGATCGCCTTCGAGAGTCTCCGATTTTTCCTCAAGTCTTTTTCTAAGAAACAGTTAATACGCTTATTCATAGAATATTCTGTGATAATTATCAGCCAATGTTTGACTGTCAATTACTCTTCACAGACTGAAATTTTTAGATAATCTTTAGGCTATAACGAGCTAGAGAAAAAAAAAGAAAGAGAAAAGAATGCGTTGGAAAGATATGTGAACGTTATTTTGTTTTCTCTCGTGCACCCACAACCGTTCTTTTACATACAAAATTAAAATTGCTAAATTGTAGTCATAGTCACTCTATTAATTGGATTAACCGGCGACGAGAACGCAGAGAAGAAAAAGAGAGAGAGAGAGAGAAAAAAAGAGAGAGAGATATTGTTGATTAGGTTAGTAAATAATCAGAATTATTGTACACGACACCTTGTCGCACAACGTTTCACAATTGTGCAATGTAAACTTTTATTTAAGACAATTTTCGGTGAATTATATACGATTTATTTGTATATAATGTAACATTCCTTAAATGAATAACGATTTTACATGAAAAAAATTTGTATATAATTTTTATTTTTTTTGTAAAATGCCATCAAAAACAAAATATCAGCAAATTAAATAATTTCGAAGAAGCGAGAAGATTATACAACTGTACATTTATATAAAACTGAATATTTATATAAAATATGTAACTTTTTTATATGTATATATATTTATAATATATTTATGTCTGTACTTCTATACATTGTATGTATTCTAAGCATATCGTTATATTCATGTAAAGTCGAAGGTATCAAACTTCTCGAAATAACGGCAGCACAAGCTTCAAAACTGTTAAAGTCTTTTCTTAAAAGCTTCTTTTTTATATGTAATGCACGAGTCGATGTTTACACACAAAAATGACGAAGCACATGTCTTTCCAACTCAATGTTATTATTTATTCTGTAAAATAAACTTTTATATACATATATATGTACCCCCTTTTATACCTTTCTAAGCGTTACAATGTGAACTTGTTAACTAAAAATTAAGCTAATAGGCGTCTAAATGTCAATTATTATTATACATAAATCTATGTACATACGTATATATTTTCTATTACTACGTACAAATTAGAGAGTCAGCAGCAGAAAATCATTCCTATAAAATATTTAAACTGTCTACTGATATTTAAACGTCTATTGAATGACAGTCGATTGTAATTATTCATCATTTACATAAGTAATCACCAATGCACTTTTTTTCAGACAAATTGACGGTGCTTGTTGCGTAATTGTGTATTCGTCTCTGCTTATGCATCTTGAATTTTTATTGAGCTTGCATATGAAATATTAAACTTTATCCTTTCTGTGTTTTTCTCACATTTTATCGAGTGGTGGTGTTGCACAATATTTTATAAAACATCTTTTGCAAAACTGAAAAACATTATTACATTGCAATAACTTTTTAAATTTAGAATTGAAAAAGGAAAATAAAATGACTTATATAAATTTCATTTTTATAATCCGATATTTGATCTTTTCGCAATGGTATAAGAATATCTGAAGATCTGATTTTGAATCGCGTTAATATCATTATTATACCGACGTTTCGTGGACAATTCAGTTCACTTTGTCAGTTTCAAAAGCAGTCCAATATAGACTGATATCGGTATAAAAATAAATATGTTTCAAGTTCAAAAACTTCAAATATTCTTATAAATATACTATATGTACATACATACAATGCATTTTGTGAAAATTTATGAATACACTTTTAAAGGAATAATGATTTTCAGTAGCTTGCAATTTGCAAATATTAAAATCAAGAATAACGCGCATGCTAGTTTAACAATAACATATACATTGTATTTTACAACTATACTTATTAATTGTGCGCAATCTTAAAATTTGTTTTGTAAGTTAAAAAATAACATGCGCAATACACATTTTCTTTAATTATTTCGTATAAATCTAATAGATTTTTTTTGCAGATGACAGCGAAGTTGACATCCCAATCTTTCGCACAGAGGAAGGTCGTTATTTAGCATCATGTAAGCACAATATTTTTTTGTAAAAGACTTCATGCAATTTTTCATTTTTTTATATGAAAAAAACGTAATAAAATCATTAATTTTTTTAGCATTAGGTGATCCTTTAATTAAAGGATTAACGGAAGTTGCTAACGCTCGTCCAAAAGATCCGATCACATACCTTGCGACATATTTGTACAACTTCGCCAGCAAGAACAAGACTAACGATCAGGTATTTGCATGTATTGATTTCAACAATAGAAGAATTTCTTAAGATATGTATAGAATCGAAGAAAAAAACTCAAAATGTTTGAAACAATTTCTTTATAATATATTGCAATTTGCGTGTATCTTAATTTTGTTTTTCATTTTGATTCGTTTTTTTTTTTTTTTCAGGAATCTGATGTCCTCATTATACCTGATCGACAAGAAGAGAATTTGGAGAATATCGAGAATGAAAATATAGATGACGACGCCGGTTATCCTCGAAGTCCGGATTCAGACATACCTGAATCTACATTTAGCAATCCTAATAGAGTACGTATGAACAACAAAACATGCAACATTGTTTTCCACACAAAAACAGATCCTTGAACTGCACTGCAATAATAAATTATGTTCTGTAAATCGATTTCTGCAATAAGTAAAAATGTTACACACATCGAAAAGAAATAAACAAATATTGTTCTCTCGTCGTCAGGATGAACACGGACAAAGCATGATCCATTTTGCGGCAGTACGTTCATATTCGAAAGACGGCTTGTACCATCTGCTATTAGAAACCCAGGTGAACATTGGTTTTAGAGACGAATTGTATCGAACAGCCAGAGATGTTGCCGAACAGGCGAATATTCAAGAGAACGTCAGCGAGATTGATCGCTTCGTTGTTTATCTCGCGGCAAGAGGTAAAAAAAAAAGAACAAACTGTGCTTTAAAGTTATTGATAAAAGTGGAGAAAACTATATTGATATTTGTTTAATACGCAAGGTGAGACGGAAAAATTAGTCGAACTTTTACTGGAAGGCTATGATCACATTTTGGACGCCGAAGATGATGAAGCGAACATTATTGATGTTGCCGCGCAAAGAGGACACGAAGCTACTGTACAATTTTTACAATCAATCCCCAATTACGTGGTGAGTTGACGCGACAGCCAAACATTCTATGAAATGATCTGATTCATTATCTTATAAGAAAAACATAATTAACATAATTAACAAAATTGTTCGTTGATAGAACCAACGCGAGGAAGTACATGCTGCAATTCGAGCGAATGACGAAGATCGAGTAAAGGAACTTTTAAATAAGAATAACGGAGGTGGAAAATTACTGGCTGTTGGGAAAAATTCGATCGGTCGATGTGCATTGCACATTGCCGTACTTCAAGAGAATGAAGAGATCGTTAAATTCATTGCAAAAACATATCCGGAAACATTACGCATCGGCGATAACGTACGAATCATTTAATTAGTAAGAACTATGAATCACGTGATAAGTAAAGCCAAGTTGATTCTGTGTGAGTCAGAAAATCTATACAATAAATAATATAATAATATACAATTGTAAAACATGTGACCAATGTTGCTTATTAGTATTTTAATTTATGTACGTGTGTGTTTACAAAAAAGTATAAATGTGTTGTGTGTTCATGTAATGCATAAAAAAATATATATATTTTTTTTTCAGTTGGAAAGAACTGCACTTCACTACGCAATGGGCGTGCCGTCCGTAGAAGTTTTAAGTAACATATTAATTAAGGCAGGCGCAAAACGTATTGTCAAAGATTTGGTAAGACATATATATATATATATATATGTATAATCCGATAACAAATATGTTTTTAACGCAGAAAGCTAATTTATTTAAATTTCTAGAAATCTCGGCAGCCTTCGTATTACTTTATGAATAAGTCTGATATCGAGCAACTTCAAGAAGAAGAAAAATCCATGATTATATAAGTTATATAATGTACTTATATAGATTCGTAATGATATGAAGACACTATAATCATTACACTATAGTCATACATTTTATTGACATGTTTACGTCAAAGCCGAGAAAAAGCTAGTCATTAATATTACGCAAAACACGCGTACTTGAAACAGTGTGTACAGACTAATAACACATCTAATGATTGACACTTTAAAGACCTGATTAATTTGTTTTCAAGAGTGCCAACTATAACTATAATTAAATGACTCTAAAATAAAAAATATTGCCGTAAAAAACATAAGAAATAAACTCCAGATGCTGACAGACAGAAATGGAGACACGGGTTTTTACCTGAAAGCATCTGTCTTTCTCTTTTGACTCACTTCTTTTTTCACACGCGCAATCCATTTCTTATATGTCTGTGATGAAAAATCAAAATTGCTAAAACGTCACGTAAAAAATGACCATAGACAAAAATGTTAACACAACTAGAAAAAATTAATAAGTGCCAATCATTAGAGAAATGCTAACTAGATTCGGTTACTCTATATCACTTGTACAATATTTCACAGAATTTTAAATGTTTTTTTTTTTTCAGAATAAAATTTTACAGTAGAACTCCAGTAATTTCGAACACATGAGACCGCGCGCATTCTTCCTAGAAAATCGAAATTATTTCTTATTTAGCGACGAACTGATAGCAAGAGACAAAAGATATGTTTCTTTTACTCTTATACTCTTGCACTCGAGAAGCGCGTTATCAGCGCTATTGGATTATTCTATCTTTTATATCTTATATCTTTTATATCTAATGAGCGATAAAGATAAAATGATGCGTCATAACTGCACCAAACCCAGAATGATGCAATAGCGTAAATGAGCGCGCTCCTCGAATGCAGCCTTAGAGTGAAGAGAGAAATAGACGCGCATTCCACGAATTGCACTTAAAAATATTAGAGAATCATCACTAATAATAAAATCTATTGGCCTGCCCATAAGGGAGAAATCAAAATTTTGATGCTCAAAATTATTAGAGAGTTCTACTGTAATTAATATTAGAAGAAAAACCTCATCTTTTGTAATTATAAGAAAGGCGTTTTTATTTCATTGTTTTGGTTTTAAACATCTAGCTATCTCTGGCTTTCTCTTATTTAATATATTATAAAATCTTGTATTATTCGCTTTTGTGTCGGTCCTAGTTAAGAAGAGTTCGAGAATATTAGCATTATGCATAATCGAAAATAGGGTATGTGAGTTCATAAATTGTGTATGAAATACTTCAAAAGTGTTGAGAAGTTAGTACCTTACGAATAAATGTAACGAGACTGCAATGTAGTATCATTATTTCATTAAGTTAGATTCGAGGAAATATATTTGCACGAGTACTGATTTTAGAAAGTGAAAAAAAACTCCCAGAGAAGATTCAGAAAAATAAAATGTTTTTTAAATAATAAATATTTAACATTAAACAGAATAAAAAGATAAATGTTTAGTGGTCACTTTTTTGCTGTTTATTATAATTTTTAATTTAATGCTTTAACAATCTTAAATTAAATTGTGCTTGTTCGACATATCACTTAAGATAAATTGAGATCAAAAAATGTTTAACGCTCTGATACGAAATTTTTAGCATTAGTCTCAGTAGCGTTGTTTTGTCGTGTAATCATAAGATACTCTTCCGTGATCTCCTCAGGCTGAATCTTATTAAAAAACATTTCTCGCTCCTTGTATACGTAATACATGTCATCGAAGTTAAAATGCAATCCCAGCACTATGTTTAACGCAGAAGTGTCATATGCGTGACAACCTGAATATCGATACTGTGGTTTTTTGTTAAATCTACAGCCTGCCGATTGTGCACCTAAAACATTTGATTAGATACTTTACGTCCAGATAGTTAAATTAAATGACTAATATATTTCCATTGAAGTACAGAAATTAAATATAAACTCTATATGTATTCATATACATAAATTACAAATATACCTACCAATAGGAGAAATACAATCCCTTGTCAAAGCGCACTGGACCCAAGGCAGCATTACTTTTTCCCTAATATCTTTAAGATTGCTAATTACTAAATGTGATGCTCTAATCAATGGGAGAAAGAAAAAACTCTCAGCTGAAGCGTGAAAGTATTCATACATTTTTGGATGTGTTAGAGAACTAATAGCATGCCTTGTAGGCCAAGTCAAAATTCCAGATTTTGGACAAAGATATTTTGCAACATCTGAAGAATTCAGACGTACATTAGAGTCCATATATATAATACTACCTAGTGTATTTAAAGCTGTCTGTGGCAGAAAAACATTATATAATCAATATGATTATCTCTTAGAAAGAGAAAAATTACAAAAGTAACTTAGAAAATTACTTACTTGAATAACTAAAGGTCTATAAACATGCAATGTGTCATCCTCAACATGAGCAGGGAATGGGCTTAGATCAAAGTGGATCACATTACATCTCGTAGAGTTACAAGCAAGCCTAATACTTTGTAAGGAATCTTCGTTTAAACCAACACTATAAATCACAATACTATTATTTGGCAAAAAGTGGCTGACGTTTCTAACAAAGCCATAGATATATTGCTCGTTTCCAGGCCTTACGAGCGACACAACCGTCACATTCTGTGGCTTGAGACTAATCGGTGTAGTGCTTGTCTGCCCATCCAGACCAAGCAATGCAAGATATTTAGAATCTGTCACTAGACGCTTCTCTTCAACGTCTTTTAAATTTTCCTTAAAACAATATCTTGCAATTAGCGAAATATAAAAGTTAATGCGACACATGCTTATAAAACAATATACAATAATAATTTATTTGCAGAATGATATATCCACACACCTGGAAGCTCCGTAACTGTTTGTGAGTCTCCGTCACTAAAGTTTGAATGGAAGGTCGCTGATTGCTGAAGGCAATAAAAACAATGCTGCTCCCTGCTATGCAAATCAGCAACAATAGCAGGCCCTTGATACGCATCGCTCATCGTTTAATGAAATTTGATTGGCAACTGGAGACAAGTATAATACACGATACGTTATGTTTAAAACGTATCTTTTAGGTTAAACTTCATTGCATCGATATAATACGTCACGTTGCAAAAGATTGAATACCGTAGTAACTGGTTTGGTTTGGTGCATATATGGCTCAAAGGACCGTTTCAAGCTAGTCCATACGCCATTCTAAGTCTTTAGGAATCGTGACACAGGTTCTAAACCGTGGTTTGGGTACAAGCCACGGAGTTGTACGTTCGTTAAAAATACTGATAAACTGAAGAAATCGGTGTAAAAACACCGAAGATTGTCCAAAAATATCTAAGCGTAACTACGCACATCTAACCGGTACGGCTGATGCAACACCACTTTACCGTAGTAACTCATTTTTGATGCATAAACGATTAAAACAATTTATCAGCGTAATATTTACAAACTTGCGGAAAATTAGATTGAGGCCTTTGATATCAAACTACTTCCACGAACTTGATCATAAACGCTCACATACTTTACATAAATGTTTGTACATACTTTCATAGGGAATTTTATTCTATGGGAGCTTTCCAGCTACGTACACAGACGACACTGTGGCCCTGTTCCGTTATTACTGGCAGTATTGAAAAATCTATAGAATACGTCACGTGAACCTATTAATTTTGCAGTATTGCTAGTAATAACGGAACTGAAAGTGTGTAACCACTGAACTATAATATGGAACGCGCCTTGCCATTGTGCGAGCTGTCCGCGATAGAAAGCATCACAATTAGGATCTCTGTCTTTGTCTCGTCGTCGCTGATTGGTTGAAATTTATACGAGTACAGCCCAAGACAAAAGAACAACAAAAAGTAAAAGCTGCGTTCCGTTTCACGCATATGCGCGCATTTATCTATACTATACGTGACGTGTACTATAGATAAATGCGCGCATATGCGTGAAATGGAACGAACTCAAAGAATGACTGCAATTAGCAGAAATCAGCGCTCAGCAATTGCTAATACGCAGTTATTCTTTAGGCCTGGTTTATGCGGGCCTAAGATTTTAATATTTCTGTTTATTATCATAAGCATAACAGAATATAACAGAAGCATTGAAATTCTATAGTTGAACTGTACCAATTCCGGCATAAATTAATAGTTATTACCCGCATAAACAAGGCCAAAACAAGGCCTTATTTGCCGATATAAACCAGGCCTTACTTTTCGTTGTTCTTTTGTCTTGGACTGCACTCGTGAGCGCTGATTTCTGCTAAACGCAGTCATTATTTACTTTACTGGAGTTCTACTGTATAATATTACGAATAAATAAAATACGCATTTATATATTGTGAGAAGGTAAAAATATTACAAAGTGATAAATATCCTCCACACAGAACAAAACCTCTATTAGACATCAAAAGCTCCTTGCAATATCTAATAAATGTCTAATGGAGTGTTTGTTCTGTGTGGGTATGCAAATACTACAAAACAACTGATAAACATAGTATCTGATGTCTAGATAAATCATGCAAATAGGTTTTTTATGTGTAAATAAGCTGATGTGTGTGTAGCGTGAGAAAGAAAAAATTATAATAGCATATAAATAATAGTAGTGTCATGTCATAAATAAACGAAGTTTGCTACTTTGTAATTACATAATTGCTAATATGTGACTATGCATTTTGTCTTCTAAGAATTATGTCTCATAACATATTATCTCTCTTAACATATTTTTAAGAATTATATCTCAACATATTTTATTATTATTATTTCTGTATTTATAAATGTTAACATAAATCAATTTGAAAAAACGCTAAATAAATTTATATTTTATTTTATGTGATAATAAACAAAATATATATGATAATTTTTAAATGTCATGTGTAAATAAATAAACATTGCTTTTTATAACGCACAAAATCAAATTTTAAATTTTTATATCAAGAATATATTTCATCAAACGTTTTAGCTCGTGAGAAATATTATTCAGAATCAATGCTAGTTAATCTTACAAAATGATTATTTTTAACAATAATTTAAATACTTGTGAAGATTTCAAACTAAGAATTATGCTATTAATTATGCTATGTGAGACTGGATGTTTGTGCGTAATAGAATACTTTATTTAGAACGTCAGATGTTTTGATCTTTAACCGGTTTGTTACTGAAAAAGATCCAACACAATATCGAAACGTGTGACGTTCTGAATAAATATGCCATTACACACAAACATTCAGTGTTTTATTTTGTATTGGTCTTCCAATTTCTTTAATGAATTTTTCACGAGCGATCTCTTTTTTTTATATTTTTTCTAACTTTCCTGAATCGTGTAAATTAATACACATCAAAATTCAAATTAAATTTAATTCGAAAATTTACATAGGATGCTTAATTAGACGTACATGTGATTTACCTAATTTATTTCTCCTTTCATGAAAATTAAAAACTTTATTGCGTAAAAGACACTTCGGTTAAGAATCGAATACGGATCTCTTGCATTCCATGCAGACGCCTTCCCAATTTGGCTATCTCAGGCCGAACATCTAGCATATACGCTCATATTGACCTTCATTATTAGTTTGTACTATACTCTATGCATATAAATTATTTCCAAACTTTTTGTTTTCATTTTTTTATTTTCTTCAATATACATAAATTTTTAATATAATAATTAGTAATACTTTGATAATGGACGTTAAAAAATAGTGCAGAATTTTTTTTTTTTAATAAGATATAATGTTATCCATTAATCAGTATTAATAACAAATGATGACCGACATCTGTAAATAATCACGGAATATATTTAGGTTTAGAAAAATAGAAATATTTTTCTCTTTCTCGCGAGTTTTCTAGTACGTACAAGTTCATTCGATAATACCTTGTAAATCCGATAATAACTACGGTTTGAAAACAAATTTAAAAGAATGCATATAATACTTAGCATTTAAATTAATTTGAAATAATTTTGCAATGCTACGATTCTCAAAATATTTTAATTTTTTTAAGTATTATCAGTAAAGATTTTATTATATTATTTTATTAAAGAAAAAACATTTGTTAACATCTTGTCATTCTCTTACAATATATAATATTTTTATACATATTTCGGTCACATAATTTATTTTATATCTATTAGTTTTATATTTATAGTATTAATTGTTGTTCATTAAAGCTTATTTTTTTATAAATTCTGATCGGCTGACGGTTTTACATTGTGTTCTTTTTTAAAAATCGTTGTATAATTCATCTGGTATGTTTTTTTAAAAAAACTCGAAAGAAGTCAAAGTGGGCAATTCAGATAAACTGTCTAAAAGATTCTGTACAAATGCATAAAATATTTATGAAATGTCACATAAAGTCATGGACGTTATGTTTGTATAGATATTCTTTGTAAGTTTCTATTCAGTTTTCAAGTTTTTAAATCAATATGTATGAGAGTATAATTATTGCAAGATAATCTTCTTCGTCTTACTATGTTTTAGTTTTTTTTATTTCGTGTCGTGTAAAACGTATAAAAGCAGCTGTACCAATCGATCGACGCCAGATCTCGAGTTACTTTAGTCAAGTTAAGGTGAAGCAATGACGCGGCTAATAACTTACGTTGTGGCAATCATCGGTATTGCGCTGATGTGCGTTCTCGCAGAAGAAGAAAAATATACTGATAAATACGATGATGTCGATGTCTCTAGTATACTCGCAAACGAAAAACTGCGAATGCAATATTACAACTGTTTTATGGGTACTGGACCGTGTATAACATCAGATTCGAAATTCTTTAGAGGTATGTCATTCACGAAGTACAAGAATCGTCTTATACTTGCCAGACATGTTCCCGCGCGATTTCTATGTATTTCCAAGTTTGAAAAAATAGCTTGATAAACATTTTTGTAAACAACAACTTTCACATATATCTTTGTACACATGCTAATTTACAGTACAACTATATTTGAGAGTTTCACTCTCGAGAAGATATGCATTTGCTTCTTTCATATATCTTTTATATATAAACAATTTTAATTACTTATAATATAAACACATATAAAAGAATCTTGAAAATTAAAAGTTACAAAATCTTTGTTATATATATATATCCAACTTTTCCAGCCACTTTTATTTTGTATTGAAAAAAGTCTACTTTTATAAATAAATGATTAATTCTCTTAGAAATGTAACAATCAGATCTTATTTTTGTAAAAGCTGCAATTTTTATACAAGAACGTAAAAACTATCGTACAAAATTATTGTAATGTTGTATGTAATTTTTAATCAAAGAGAAACGAAAGCGTATAGTCACATACACTTTGTGCATATTACCAATCAAAACCAAAATATTAAAGTTTTGTGTATTTTGATTTTAGATATTTTCAGTGAAGCTTTTCAGACCAAATGCAAAAAATGTACTGAGAAACAAAAAGAAATGTTAGATGAAATTGTTGTTTGGTACACAGAACATCAACCCGAACAATGGAAAGCTATTGTTGCGAAGACCGTGGAAGATTTAAAACAAAAGAACACTGGTCAATAATTATGATGAATAAACGCGAACAAACCTGATTCGGCAACGATAAGAAACTTTACTATATTTATACTATAAAATATTCACATAATATTTAATTGTTAAAACTGTAGATAGATCTTTAGTTTTTCATATTCAGAAAATATGATTGTTACATGCTTGTATTTTGTAGTGTTATATTGTAGAAATAAAATATAGAAATGTATTCTTTGATTTGTATTGTGTTCTCGATAATTTAGTTAGATAACCATATTTTGTTTTAATTCTTCTCTAAGAGAAATAATAATATAGCAAATAGGAGTAAAATCCATTAGACATCTTGAACGTTCATAATTTCATGTGAAATCTAGTAAGCATTTACTGAGGATTTGTATAGAATATGTTGTCCGATATAGATTAAATTGTAATTGTAAATTACAGAAATTTTTTAAATTCAAATTAGATTTAATTTGAATATATTTATTTTATATAGGATTTCTGATGTTTTTGTGCATCTGTCTTCCTCTCAAATATAGAAAACTTTCACAAACAATCCTTCTTCGAAAAAATCACTAAGAACGTGTTTGCTTTTATCGATACGTTTGAATTGATTTTTAAATATAGAACAGTGACCCTCAAAGCGCGTGAGTGTCCAAGGCAAATGCATAAGTGACTATGATAAATAACCTTTATACTAACTCCAAGATAAATCATGCAAAAAATAACAATTGGTTTTTTTTTTAGTAATAATTCTTCGTATATAATTTATTGTAACATGTATAATTTATTAAAAATATTATAGAAAAATATCTTTAGTAAATAAAAACAAATAAAAACTAAGTAAATTTATATATATAGATAAATATATGTTTTAAAATATCGGCGTTTAATATCAGCTCAATCGCAGAGAATGTCTGACACTTTAAGGCTATCACACATAAAATTACTTAAGACCGTAAGACGTAACCGTAAGAAAATTAACCAATTAGAATATATACTATGTCGCAATCACTTTCGGACGTAAATTTCTGATTGGTCAATTTCCTTACGTCTTACGGTCTTAAGTAATTTTATGTGTGATGGGCTTTATACGACAAGTTTCGCGACAGTACAATTGCAATAAACACAACAACTTTCATGTTTTCGTGGCGCATTCATTAACTGACTTTTATTTAAACCCTATGAGCACACAATATTCTTAGAATATTCTAGAATATTCTATGAATATTAATAGTACATTTAATATTCCAAAAATGTGCTCAGAATATTACTTGATATGAAATAATATTATGCGCTTATAAGGAAATAGCTTTCTATAGTTTGAGATGTCTCCTTCAGGAGTACGTTCCAAAATCCTATCTTGGTTACTAAAATGCTATATTTTGCGTCACGTGTACTATAGTTTTAAATTACCAAGATAAGATTTTGGAACGTATCTAAGAGAATACTAAAGCGATGGGTGACTTTCGAATCGGCTGCTTCAAACGCTATAATGTTTAAAGGGTCGTCTACAATGGAAGTAAGCAGTATAGAGTAAGAAGTAAATCTTGGAGTTATTTTATTTTTGTCTATACAAGTACTTATTTCGCGTTGTTTAACACACGTCTTTCATTAGCTAACACTAAGGCAGTAGATAGTGCGAAATAAACATTGCCCATTTCGTAATTCCCGTTGTTTCTTCACCGAAAAATAGTTTACTCTCTATATACTCCTACAGCCTTACTACCAGAGAGAAGCCTGAGAGCGGCCAGGTCCTTAAGAGAATGTGTAAATTGTAATCACTTTTTCGCTCCGTAAACTAACGCATGTCCACGAGTGATACACATTGGAACTACGCAGCCAGTCCACGAGCGACATGTCGGTGCGCTATGTCCACAGCGTGCGGTTCTATTCTGTGCTATGTGTACGAGTTTAAATGGTCACTTTCTTTAAGTGTGTGAGTATATTCGAGAGCGTGAATTTGATTTTTTTTGAAATTTAAAATGACCGATCTCGTGATGAGAAGATGAGAAAGGAAAACAGAAAAGGACAAAAAAAACATTGCAACTTTCCACACAACATAAATGTGATATACAAGAAAAGATTTGATAGTCAAGAAAATAATATTATTTTAGCGAGCAGCATCAGAATTCGTAGAGTGTATCATCTCCTTTTACATCATCATTTGCTGCTTTTTGCTTTATAAATTTTATTCTATTTTTTCAAAAACTACATATATACGTATAAATATAAATTACACAAAAAGACATGTATATTACACAAAGGAGTTTTGCCGGTACACAAATATATACGTCTGAAAAGTTGCAATTCCAAAAAGGATATCTATTACTCTGCTTTATTACAATTCTTTATCAGTGCGTTTCAATTTTCAAGTTTCATTTTACAATTTTTTATACATTATAATAGAATACAATATAGTTTACATATATTACATATAACATACAATAGTTTACATATATTACATATAACATACAATATAATACAATATTATACAATATACATAGTATATATAATCCTACCTACCTATCTTAAACATCTGACATATCTTAAACGTTACTAGTTTCATTAATTAGGATTAAGGCTGCATAACAGCCTTGATCCTAATTGTACATTTTTATTTCTTCTACCTACCTACCTCCAATCTAACATATTTCTTATCTATCCGGCCTAATTTATTTTCTACAAGCACTTGTAGATACGCATCCCTACCTACACAGATAACTACCTACCTACCTATTTACTTTGAAAAGTTTTAAAACCTATCAAATATTTTACGCGAGGGGCAATTGTTTTAAAATTAAAAAGTAAAGTATTTTAGATATATTTTAGTTTCACGTCCGAGTTTTGTTATAGATTTTATGATTGAAAGAAGAATTATATTCACCCGATAAAGCCCATCATGTATAATTAGAAGAGATAGAAATATTAATATTTTATAATAGATAGAAAAAATATATATTTCAATATATATTTTTCAATATATATATTTCAAATATATATTTTTGCAAAGATAAAATAGAAAAGAATAAAAATGTAGAGAATAGATATAAAAAACATAAATCTCCAAAAAACGATTCTATATCGGTTCTTTAAGAGAAATTCATATAGAAATATAAAAGTGGATGTAGAAAAAAGATATAAAGAATATAAGTCTTTAAAAAAAGATTCTATATCAGTACTTTAAGAGAAATTGATATAGAAATATGAAAGAACATAAGTCTCCAAAAAAATTCTATATCGGTTCTTTAAGAGAAAT